ATATTTAAGACCCCATCTTAAGGTGTCCATTAGCATGTGCATCACAGAACACTAGCATTTCCTATGGCAGTAAAATGCCCTTTCTATTGTCACTGAATTGATTTCTGTTAAGATTCCATTTTATGTGGTGAAGTAACTTGGAATGCCAACTAGCCTTGGTTAGAATAAATGCTCTTCAAGTGACTAGACTCCCGAACCTGAGAAAGTACTTAGCACTTATTTCTGAGCTTCCTTCTTTATTGAATCTGAGGTACAGAAGTTTATATCCATGTCTGTATTTACTACAAAATTCATCTCCAAGCTACATAGAAATAAGATGTAGTTGCAAATTACAAACTAATAAATATTTTGAACCTAGTTAACTAACCAAGAATTCTAGATGTTGAAGTAAAATTAGGCTAGGAATTTAGAAACAGGCAATATCCATTGGCATTTATTTTAAAAAGTTGGTTTCTAGGTCTTGGTTAAAGATCCGGCTATTCTCTGTCAAGCCCTGGGCATAGAACGATAGTCCTTAGACAAGACTTTGACACCTATGACTTCAGGTTCCTACATGATTTCCTTAGCATAAGTCATAATTCTAAAACCGTGATGAAACTCTGTCATAAACCAGGTACTTACATGCTGCCACAAAGAGGATTCTAATCTTGCAGTTAAGATGAATTCCAGTAATATTAATGCCACACCAGTCATTGCCTGGATCATACTTATGATGTTTACTGACAGAGTCCAGAGCACCTGGAACAGAGAAAAAGAATCACCTCACCATTGGGAACTGTTCCATATTCATGTCTGACAAGTGTATTCAGATAGATTTGTATAAATTCTAGTCTTTCTGGAATAATATTATTAAAAACTGTCAAAACTGCAGATTGGAGGGGCTGGAGAGATGGCTCAGTGGTTAAGAACACTGGTTGTTCTTGCAGAAGACCCGAATTCGAATCCCAGAACCCACACTGCAGCCAACAACTGTCTGTAACTCCAGTTCCAGGGGATCTGACAGCCTCTTCTGTCCTCCGCGGGCATTGCACGACACTGGTGCACTTACATGTAGGCAGTACACGCATACACATAAAATTAAAAAAACACAACACTCCCCCCCCAAACTGCAGATTCGTTAGGCTCCTAATAGGATCAGACAGTTTGGGAGATAATAAAACTTTGGATATAGCATGCTTATATGCAACTTATCAAAGCTGATTCTGTGCTACATTAGATAAAGAGGCAGAAAGGAAATGGTCTCTGCATTACAGTTATTTTTTCAGACTCTTTTGAAGACAAAGTACATAGTAAATGTGAATGGAATCTGAAAACCTGCTGATAATATAGACAAATCCACCAACCACACAGCTTTAGATGCCTTGATCTAATGCTCCAGGATGATGCTGTGGTTCTTAGAGAGCAGGAACGTGAGTTGTTGGGAATTTCTTGGAGACCCAGGTGCTTTCTAGCTAGACATGAGGATGTTTTTCTTGAAGATGTAGGGGACTAACTTGTTGGAGGCCACTCTCCAGGCCACAGGCTTGTCAGGCTGTACTCCAGACAATGCATGCTTTATAGCATTGCTGTGTAATTGTGCTTTATCCCCATATGACGTTAGAGAGGAGATAGATTATTTGATACTGTTATTGAGACTTCTTCCTTATACTTATTTCCTTATCCATATTGGAAACAATTTCTTTCTAGCTCATAAAATTAGATAATGAGAATGACAGTTTAGATTGTTGGATTCTGAAACCCATCTAAAACACAAGTATTCTTATCTAGACAGCTTTTGTATGTTGGTCATTGAGCTCAGATAATTTAATCTTCTGGAGCAAGTTTTCCTTACAGAAAGGAAACCAATCAATCTCAGACCAACCAGGAACTCTGTGCTGACTAGCTTTCACAGTGCTGGATGGTGCTATGCAAACTGGGGGTGAAAAGACATCAATGGTCTTACCCAGTGCTGGTCCCTGCATGTTGTAATACCAACCCACAAGGCAAGTTCTGCCCACTGGTGCAGTAGTGCATGATAGTCATAGGGTTAATGAACCAGTTTCTGATAGGGTGTAAGGCCTGTTGTCTGGGGGATTTCATGTCTGGTACTGGAAACATCATCATAATCCCATTACTGGGGGGATCATAAGGCTTGGAGGGGGAACCTACTGGCATTGCTTCATTCATTAAATGATCATGTCAAACTGCCTTCTGTATATTTATGTTTATACCCATAGATCTGTGCTGCTCGCAACCTTGGTCAGAGAACTCTTTTTTTTTTTTTTCCCCCCAGTGGGTCGTGGTTAATGCAGAGTCCCAGAATTGGTTGTTGTGCTGAGAATAAGAGATTGTGAGTGCTCAGCCATAGATGATCATCTATATCATCCCACATTCCTTGGAATCCAAGGCTCGGGGAACATCTGGGAAGAAGAAGAAGCAGAAAGCATCTAAGAGCTGGAGCATGGGGAAAGCTCTGAAAGGTTGTCTTCCAGACAAGATGTGGCTGATGCATGCATCAACTCCCAGCAGCTGTATTTGTCTGGTGAGACCTGCACAAGACCAAGCCAGTCAAAACCCTAGCATGGATGGGAATGGCCTCCCGAGTATTCCCCTCTAGCAGAGGAGCTACTGGCAGTTGAAGGCTGCTGAAGTGAGAGTCAGTTTTCTTTGGGGATGTGGCTGCTGGCAGGTGGTCCATACCCAAGTGGATGGCCCCACACCCATGTGCACATGGTTAACACTGACTGGACTTAGGGTGCCAATAATAATAATAATAATAATAATAATAATGATAAATATAATAATAATATGAGGTAGAGAAGGGGTGGGTAGGAAAGTCCTGAGGGTGATTTGGAAGAAGGTAGTTTGGGGATGAATATGATCAAACTAGATTGTGTACATGTATGAAATTTTCAAAACATAAATAAGACCATTAGAAAAAGGAAAGGCAATAAAATTAAAATATTCAGTAATTCATTTTTAGTTATTTGTAACAAGGCAATTTAGTCCTTAAAGATGAAATGTTTTCTGAAGTTTTAGTTGTATATCAAATTCATGCCAATGTCATAAATATCATCTTTCTAATTTAGAAAAAGAGCTTTATTAAGTCACTACATTGGAGAAGATATTTTTACAAATGAAGTTTTGCTGGCCAAAGTTTATCTGAAGACAAAAAGCAAGAGCAGTTGTTTTGGTTTCAAGTGGTGATGGCATGGATAAGAATGCAGTAGGTCACAAACACTAGGGGAAGCAATTTGGCAGTTTGGAAGAAAAGACAAATATACATACACTAGGCTATACATATACTAGAGTAACGAATGCATCTGCATACAGACTTGGGGTGAGTGTTCACAGTAGCTTTATTTGTAAGAGCTGAATACTGAAAACAGTATCAGTTCCATCAACAGGTAAATATAAACAAATTGTGTAGTCACCCAACTGATTTTTTTCATATCGGCAACTTGCATTCTGCAACAAGATAAATTAGTTTACTAATCCTGGATTCTTTGGTGGACTTCATAGGATGTTGTAGGATGTCTTAGCATGTTTATGATGTCTATGAATGAATAATGCATTCTGACTCCCCAATCTCAATACCCTGGAGATATTTCATCTTAAATTATTACACTATACAAGTCACGTATAATGCTAAATAAATTTGATGGCAGGGTACACATGCACACTGTTACTGCCTCATGTGGTTTCCTTTTCGTTGTTGTGATACACACCATGTCTAGAAGGGACTTAGTTCGGAAAGAGAGGGTTTATTTGGCTTTTATATTATAGTCCATCATTGAGGGAAGCCCACAGCAACTCAAGGCAGAAATGTGGAAACAGAAACTGAAGCAGAGACCGTGGAGGAAGGCTGCTCACTGGCTCATTTCCTCTCACTTGCTCAGTTACCTTTCTTTTTAAAAATTTTTTTATTTTATATGCACGAGTATATTTCCTGCTTGTATGTTTGTGCACCATGTCATGAAGTGCCCATGGAGATTAGAAGAGGACACTGGATCCCCTGGAACAGCTGTTAGCTGCCACATTGGTGCTGGGAACCAAGTCCGGGTCCTCTGCAAGAGCAGACAGTGCTCTTAACCACTGAGTCATGTCTCCAGCCCCAGTTACCTTTCTTATTCAGCTCCTGCTTTTGATATGTCTAATTTTGTATTGATTCTAAATGTAGTTTTCATTTTAGGTGTATTTACTGCTTATTCCGAATTTTTTAAATCAAATTTTTTTCTGCATGTATTTGAGATATGCAATATAGGCTTATCTTGGAGATGCTGTGAGTCAGCTTCTGATCACAGCAGCAAAGTCTGATAGAGTGATTCACAGTGAGTTAAACTATTTACTTATTTATTCATGTGTGTGTTTGCATATGCCATGGCACACTTGTGAAGGTCAGATGACAAGTTGGTGGGGGGTCAGCTCTTTTCTTATGCCTTGTGGGTTGTGGGGATCGAACTGAGGTCATTAGAGTTGGCAGCCAGAGCCTCCACATGCTGAGCCATCTCACTACCCATATTGCTGGGTTTTGACTGTATCATCTGACTCACATGGGCAGCTTCGGTTTCTGCTGAGAAACCTGCTGTTATCCTCATCAGAACCTTCTTCCAGGTGATTTTTTTTTTCTCTTGATGCTTTCAGGTTCCTTTTCTGGGTTTTGACATCTAACAGTTTGATTATATCTTATGGTGTAGCCTTCCACTATATCTGATGGAATACCCTTTGACCATCTTGTACCTCGGTATTTGTCTTTCTCTAGATTTTTTTCCTTTGTTATTTCTTTAACTAATTTTCCTGTCTCTGTGTCTTTCTCTTTTTACTGAACTCTTATTTTAAGAATTTCCTCTTTTGATCTCATGTGCTCCATTTTTTCTACTCATTCTTTTCTGTTTTTCTTTTTTGATTAGTTTTCTAAATTTATTTTTAGTTTTACTTTTTTTTAATGTGTTATGCCTGCATGTATGCAACTGCTCTTATGTCATGCAGTGCTCCCAAAGGCCAGAAGAGGGTGTAAGATCCCCTTGAAGTGGAATAGCAGACAGTTGTTAGCTGCCATGTAGATGCTGAGAACCAAATCTGGGTTATTTGCAAGAGCAGCCAGTGCTCTTAACAGTGGAGCCATCTTTTTAACCTCTCTTCCCTGTTTTTCAAACACCTTGTGTTAGATTTATTTATCTGTGTGTACGTGTGTGTGTGTGTGTGTGTGTGTGTACGTGTGTGTGTGTGTGTGTGTGTGTGTGTGTGTGTATGGGGGTCATAGGACAAATTACAGGAGTTGTTTCTCTTCTACCATGTGGCTCCTGGAGATAGAACTCATATCCACAGGTTTGATGGCAGGTGCCTTTACTTGCTGAACCACCTCTCTCATCCAAAGTAACTCTTTTCAATTTCATTCCATATCCTTATGCCTAAGGTGTGTCATTTATGTCTTCTTAAAAAAAACACTTTAGGGGAATGTAGAGAAGTTTCAGTGGGTAAGAGTACTGGCTGCTCTTGCAGAGGACCTGGGTTCGATTCCCAGTACCCTTTTGGCAGCTAACAACTGTCCATAACTCCAGTTCCAGGGCATCTGGTGCTCTCTTTTGACCTCCATGGGCATTAAACAGCACAGTTATGCTTACATACATGCAGGCAATACACTCATACATACAAAAAAAATAAAATATCTAAAAAAAATAATGTGATAGAAAGTTACATTTCATGTGTTTTAAATACTTACTCTCCTGTTTCTGGGGAGACATCTAATGGCTTAGAGGCCACACCAATTCCTCAATGCCTTTCTTTTTTCTTTAAAAAGTTTTTATTGGTTCTTTGAAAATTTAATACTTTCATTGGCAATTAAAACTCTCTATAGTTGTCACAAGCTTTCTAACTTACCAGATTATCTGAAGGCTTCTTCTGTACCATTATTGAAAAACAGCCTGATAGGTAAAACTGGAAGTAAAGACCACATCTGTTAATTCCCAGTCATTGTGTCTAAGATAAGCTTAAAGAGAATTTAGAACACTGTAATGTGAGGAAGATCACCTCAGGTCCTTGGTAGAACTATTATGAAAACAACCAAGAAATAATTCAAGGTTTTCTGTTTATAGAGAAGAAAGCTACGAAATTTCTAATCAGTCATGTAACACATGCAATAGAAATGGGATTCAGGGGTGCCTTGAAATGACTTTATGGGAAAGGCATGTTAGAGTTCACTTAGATTTTCTCAAGCATAGTTAACTGAACCAGTAAGGTACATTATAAGAAAATTCACCCAGTTAATGAATTTACTACTAGGTATTAATTATATATATATTGATCAATTCATATGCAAGTGTTTTAGTATGATGTGAAAATATTTCATGAATAGAAAGTATTATTCAGAAAGTGTTCAGGTCTTACTTTACATATTTAAATATAAAAAAAACACACAAAAATTCTATATACATTGTTAATCTGGTTATAAAAAGCAAAGTAATTAAGTGTTGGGGGACCCTGCTGCTAAAGTTGTAGTCGTCCACGTCTGGATAGCTCTAAGGGGCTCGGCACTATATGGAAGGACTCACTTTCTCAGCAGGGGCCTCCTGCTCTTGGCCTGAGTTACCTGGAAAGTGCTGTCAAGCATGGATGTGTGACCTTATTTGGAACATGACCTTTGGCATAGTTACCTGCAGTAAAAACTACCCCCAGGTATTTTTCTATATGATAATCAGGCATTACCCCATAGTTGGATGATAGGATCCCGCTACCACATGTAAATAAAGCATACTATGAGCACATATCAGCTGAAGCTTTGGCTGCTGCCTCCACACTATATTTTCCCTGACCCCCACTGAATAAACTGAGCTGTTTCACTGAGTCTGGAGCTGTTTTACTGAGTCTGGAGCTGTATCACTGAATCTGCCTCCCCTGAAGGGCTTTCTTCTGTCAGTGCTCACTGGCCATCCTGACCCCATTTGTCCCTTCTGCTCCCTTTGTTCTCGTGGATCAGTGGCCAACAACCCATGAGGGGAGGGAGAGGCCCCACAATTAAGTTCCTAGAATATAATATAAAATGTCTTTTTGAGCTTGGATTAAGAAAAGACTTACTTGATTGCATAAAAAATGCTCTCCATAAAGGAAAAAAGTTACATTATATTGAACTATAATTGAAAATTTGTTTAACCCAAGGACACATTCAATGTTCTGGGAGAGAAAAGCCTTAAGCAGCTGTGTAACTGCCAGTCATTGAAAACTGTACCAACTCCTAACGGTGAGGCTTGGAAAGATGCTGGCAGACTAAAAACCATGTTGTGAGTGAGCTTGTTATCTAGACTATATAACAAACGACAGCAAATCAGGACAGAAAAAAAAAACAACCTAATAGACGCACGTGAGGAAACTTAAGCAGGTTTACTTTTTAAAAAGAAAAGCTCAAAATAGTCAATAAATGAACAAAAGGATTCAACTTCAATCACCAAGGCAAATAAAACTAACTGTTTTGGGAGAGGGTCTCAGTAGTCCAGACAGGCCTTGAACTAGCTATGTAATCAAGGATGACCTTGAACTCCTGATCCTCCTGCTTCTACCTCCCAAGGGCTGGGATTACAGGCATGTGCAACCACATCTGGCTTAAAAGCAAAAATGAAAAGAACTGACCAAAACTGATAAAATTAAAGATATTGATGGTGTAGAGCATTTCTGGGGATGTGGAAAAGCAACATCCCTGATGTGCTACAGGGAAGATGTACTGATAAAAGTACTAGAAACATCTACCATTATATACAAATATATGAAAAACTAAGACCTTGTAATTATATTTTTTGTGTATATGACATGAATTTCCTCCACAAATAAAGATATGTGCATATTTATGCAACTAAACTCATGTACATGAAGTCTAAAAATTCAGACTGGAAGCATTGTAATGCTCCAAGCTGGAAATAACTCTGAACTTTTTTTTTGAACTTGACAGGAACTAGAGACACCTGGGAGAAGGGAACTTCAGTTGAGGCAGCTCCTCCATCAGATTTGCCTGTGGGGATGTGTCTGTGAGGGCGTTTTGTTGATTGTGGAGAGACTTGGGATGGTTGTATAACAAATCAGGCTGAGCTCAGGTCAGAGGAGCAAGCCAGTATGCACTGTTTCTCCAAGGTCTGTGCTTCATCTCCTGACTCCGGGTCCCTGTGGGAAGTGCCTGCCCTGTCTTCCCTCAATGATGGACTGTGTCTTGGGTGTGTAAGATGTAACAACCCTTTTCTCCACAAGTTGTTTTTGGTTAGCATATTTTCTCACAGCAATAGAAAGCAAAGTAGAACAAATCCAAATATTCATCCATTAGATCAAGTAGGTAGATTATCAGAGATTGGCATGTTATTTACTGATAGTGAGTAAACTACGTAGCCCTCTCAATAATAAGTATGGAATTCAAAATAAGCTGTGCTAAGGAGCTAGATATTAGCTAGTATGTCCTGTACCGTTTTACTTATATAAATTTTATAAACAGTTACAGCTATTAGTATAAGTCATATTACTGGTCAGAATACAAGGGAGAGATGATTGATTGGAAAGAATAAAATCAGAGACTTCAAAAGTGTATATTTTAAAAAGCAGGATGTTGATAAAATATTTTTACTATGATAATTAATTGGGATCCAAAATTTTGATTGCATTTACATATATGTTTTATTTCAATGTTATAAAATGGTTACAGTTGTGCTCAACTCACAAGAATTATTTCCTATAGATTTAGGAAATTTTAAGAATTAATATAGAAGCCAATGTATATCCCAAATATGATTGTCTGAAAAGTTGTTCTTACTTTTC